AAATAAATAAATAAATAAATGAATGAAGTGCATTGCTCCTCTACATGATTGGCATTTATGACGAGAGGCTTGCTTGAAGCGTACCATACCAGGGAGCTAGAGGGAATGTGCGTCAGTGGCACAGTGGGAGATCTCATGAAGACAGAAGCTTAATATCTTCATAATTCTATAGCGAAAGCTGTTATGAGATCACTACTCGAGTCACGCGCAGTTGTCCGCCGTCGCATCCACCACTGGTGTCCGTAAACACATCGCGCGAAATAGAAAAAAAAAAACCTAGCACCAATGTCACAGTAGGGCTTGAAACCCGGGTCCGCTTGATACCAGCCTAGTATTTTACCACTGATCTACGCTGGTGCTTGTGACTTGTTGACAAACTTGCCTGAGGCAGGCTTTATGTCGGCAAAGCAATCGCGTTAATATGGCTTATAAAGCGTTTTAAAACAGCGAACGAACAACCAGTCGTCGTACAATGCAAATAGCGTAACTATAGTGGGTTGTCTGATGCTCCAATCCATTACAAAAGCTTGTTCTTATTCACCTAATAACTGTGGCACATACACGCTTGAGGCATAATTCCTCATTGTCGTCAGCCACTGCATGAGCAAATGGCACAAAATTCTTTGCAAGTGTTTAACGAATACCACGCTTCTTCGCATAGCAAACGCGGCACCACTACCCAAAAATTTATTATCAATGCCCTAGTGGGTATCAAGCAAGTGGGCTAGCAGTAGTTACCCAATGAGTGTTTTGAAAAAGCTCTGAAAGGCCGCTCTTCTAGCTTTCGCTGTGACTGTGCCGCGCCTTCCGTACAGGCCAGGTGTTTTTTTTGTGAATTGAAAACGTGTTTAACAATGCATTCGACTGTGTCCACAAGTGTGTGTTTTTGGTGGTATTTGAAGGCGAAGCCTTATTATAAAGTTATGTGACAGTAAGCGGCCATCCTGTCATCTCGCCTTGTGCGTGTTGTTCTTTGCCCTCAAAACCCTATGAACGTGATTCATCACTGCAGTCGTATATGCCGGGACAGGACCTTTCAATTCAGTTACCAAGGCAGAATATAGTGTGTTGCTTTTACTCCCACACTGCTTAATTACCCCGCCACACTGGCGAATTGAGTGTCATTTTCAGCGAGTGCATTTTTACTCTCGAAAGGTCAAATTGGCGGCACACTGCCACACATGATAGGGTGTATTTCACAAATTATAGTATTGGTGATAGGTGCTTCCAATTCACAACAGATAATTGTTATATCGGGCACTATGCCATACGTAAAATGTTTTAATAACTTAAGTTTTACATACAAACATGGCCGCTGCGGCCGTTGCACAGCGTGCGCTGGGCATCTACTTATAGCGGTCGTCACTGTACCGTACATTGCCTGACAGTTAGAATATCAGAAAAGTTATTGGTGGCACAGCATGTTTAATTGAAAAAAATATATCCTTTTTAATGAAACAGAAGATTACAAATGCGATAAACTTGACTTTAGATAATTTATTCTCGAGCCATCACTACCAAGGCTAGGCAATTCCGTCTTATAGTGAGTTGAGCTGGCAAGCGTACTCGCAGACAAGTGCGCTTTGAAGCGAGTGGCACTAAACGTTGCCGTGCGACAGCATTCGAATGATACTAGTGGCGACGTGCACTTCCTCGAAGTACAGTCAAACTGCCGCGTGTGAAAGAGGTATTACAGCATTGCGTACATTTCGGTGGTGTCATCCAGTCTTCGCTATAAATAATTTCGGTGAGCCTGGAGAGATGAAGAGCCCACTGCGAGTAGAAAGACGAGGAGGTTCAGAGAACCTTAGAGTTACGTAAAATTTACGAGAGTGTAAACATGTATGCGGTCGAAGTACCTTTCGTCCAACAGACACAAAGTCAATTGCTTCAGGGCTAGCGTTGACATGCGTGCCTTCTTAAAGGTACGCATGTCAACGTGCCTTTAAGAAGGCACGTTGACAGGAACTGATAAAGATTCCAGGAACTGATAAGTGCACGTCAGGTTGATGAAGACTCCATGGCGCAGTTGCTGGATGCATCGCAAGTTTGAAGCCAGGTGGTAGTATGTCCTGATGTTTTGTCACGATACCGCAGTACGAAGAATGGGGCCTCCAAGCTGTCAAACACGCTAAATGATGTGACGGAAGCCGTGATAAATGCCGAATGTGCGCTCTCAGCGTCTCGACAATGATGTGCGTTGTGACTGGTTGTTCTTGTGCAATAACAATAGTTGACACTGTCGATGAGGATCTTGGAAGGCCAAGGCATGTCCGAAGTGCTTGGGCTTGTACGCTTTGCAGTGTACGGATGTTAGTCTTGCACGTGTTGCACAGGACAGGAAGGCTGTACCGGAGAGTTCCGAGAAAGAGGGCTGTGTAAAGCTGCAACATGGAGTGCATGGATGGGCGCCATGATTTTCCGGCGACGAACTTGAATACATTCTCAATGCCAATGAGCTTTTTCTTCAGGTATGTGACATGCGGGCTCCAGGTTAGGTCACGATCTACGATCACACCTAAGAATATATGAGTGCTCTTATATGGGATTAATCTGCCATCGATGCACAATGAGTAGAAAAACATCGGTTTGCGTGTAAACGCCACCGCTGCGCATTGTTCTGTGGCGATAGTCAAACATTGCTGGCGAAGGTATGTCGATGTCATTGTTGCCGCTTTCTGTATTCTTGCGCGCACTTGAGGCCGTGTCACGCCGGACGCCCAAATGCAGATATCACACCGATGGCTCCACTAATTCCAACAGCTCCACAGGAGCAGTGGTTGTTCCATCTGAAAATGTGTTGCTTCAGTACAAGTTTTCTCACACCACGACGTCGACAGCAGCAGAGCTCACAGCACTTCAAGGTGCAGTAAAGTACACTCTTCGGCAGCAACCTAACCAATGGGCCATCTTTTGCGACTCCAGGTCAGCCTTACAGTCACTACGGTTTGTTATGCAGCACGGGTTACATGAACAATCAGTATATCAGATAAGGCACGACTACCACGAAGCGCTCACAGAAGGTCACGATATTGTATTTCAGTGGTTGCCGAGTCATTGCGAAATCGTCGGCAATGACGGCGCGGATGAAGCATTAAACGTCGAAACCTAGCAGAGGAGTGCCGCATGCACCTACTGCGAATGTCGTAGAGGATAATGGCATCATCCTGTTCCACCCTCCTTCCCCCCAAAATTATGGAGCATCTTCCCGAAGGGAGCTCTGATGGAATGCGAAGCAGAAGTGGGGCGCACGGCGTTGACCCGGTTGAAACGGGCGTCGACACGGGTGACGGAAGAACGGTTTGAAGTGAAACTCGGTGTATCGTTTACTCGAATAAACGTTTGTTTGAAACGCAAATACAAGGGGGGCGGGTTCAGTTTCGGGAAAGTTTCATCGGAGATGAACGAGCCGAAAGAATCTTTCCACTCGACGTGTGGTAAGTGTTGCCGGTGGTGGAGAGGGCGAAGCGAGAGAAAAGTGTGTTGGGAGCGGTTGGAGGAGACAGCAGATACGGGCACTGCAACGACCATGCTGCGGGTGAGAGAGACCTCAGCGCTCACCTGCGACTGAAGCGCGCGAGGGGAGCGTAACGTCAACGCACAGCCGCGGCGTGACCTACTTGGCATCGCTCCAACAACTCCGGAGAGGGCAACGCGTTGCGGAGCGTTCGCACGGATGCACGTACGTGCAGCGTTACACACGTGACCCCAAAAGATGCTTCGCATCTAAAATACCACCTATGCATTTGAAGTGCGATAGAAAGACAATGCGCTTTTTCCATTTTCTTGTGCTGCCCTCCAGCGTTATGGTAGGGTTTGCAAAAGGCCGCGAGAACTTGCATATTGCTAGAACGAAAGCCTTCGAGACTAGGAGTAGTTTCGCTGTATTCCAGCTAGGGAAGGGTGTAGGCGCCAGCGCATCGCGAAAAAGGCGGAATAGAAAAGGGGGAGAAGCAGGCGGCGTAATTTTAAATGTCAAGGTGCTGGCGGTAAGTGATCAAAAAAAGTAAGCCGCTCACATCTCACCATTTTTATTTGCCTTCCGGTCATGGTTCTAGTTGATAGGCATTTTTTCGAAAATAAAAGGTTGCCACCATCTTCTGAATTTTCGCTTAGCTGGACGCAGCAGCTCCTCTATGCCATTTTCCGCGCTTCATGCCCTACTTTTTCCTTCGTGTCTGTAGCGATTCTCTCTTTGTTGTACGGCTCGTCACTCCCTTCTTTATTTCTGTTATTCTCTCGTCGGCCCCACTGACCACCTCCACTTACGTCTCAGTTGATATTCCTGAGAGTCGATGTAACCTTGCTTGAAATTGGCCCCGCCGCTGTGGTCTAGTGGCTAAGGTACTCGGCTGCTGACCCGCAGGTCGCGGGTTCAAATCCCGGCTGCGGCGGCTGCATTTACGATGGAGGCGGAAATGTTGTAGGCCCATGTACTCAGATTTGGGTGCACGTTAAAGAACCCCAGGTGGTCAAAATTTCCGGAGCCCTCCACTACGGCGTCTCTCATAATCATATGGTGGTTTTGGGACGTTAAACCCAACAAATCTAATCTTGCTTGAAATTGAGTAAGGATTGCCGTCTTTTGCTTTACAGATTTTTTTCTTTACAGACGGTGATTACCAATAAAGACACGAGGAACCACCGGACATGACCTCAATGCTAACCTCTTTAAAATAACATAGCAAAGATGACAAGGGGCCCCTCACAAATATAGGCCCTCCTATTGAAACGTCAGGCACCCTGTCAGAGGTCCTTTCTCTTGTGTGTTCTGATTGGCTCTCTTTCTACACTGAACAATGTTTAACATATATAGACTTCCTCAACATCCAGAAACTGTAAATACGTGGGTGTTCTTCAATTTTCCCAGATTTAAATACGGCCTGCGTGGCTGGAATGAGAACGCGAATCAGAGCTCAGCAGGGCAGCATCTGACCTGCCAAGCTACAGCAATATAAACGGGCAGTGTCCAGCAAGAAATTTGCGCTAAGAGTACGCACCATGGTTACTGTGTCCTGGTTCGCCCAGAAATCATCGTTCATATCATGCGGATGGACAGAAGTTGGCTTTGGGACCCGGATGTGGGCCGATGATGTGCGGTAGCAGACCACGACGATGCAAGCCGGCACCAGAAATCCGAGCACGAAGTAGACTACCGTGAACGACTTGTAGCTGGCGTCGTTGTGTCGCCAATCAATCGTGCATGACTGGAATGAAGGCTCCATGCCATACCTGCGAAAGAAAAACCAAGCCAAGAAAGTTATAAATCAGAAATTTCACTTGAAGCCCATACATCAGGCTACCAACCACATTCGCAGCAGCATGCGCAAATTAAAAGGGGCGGCAGGTGTTTCTTCACAGTGCATAGTATCTATCGAGCCCAGCTTGTAGTTCTTCTGTCTCAAGTAGCATGGTCACGCAGTGATCTATACAAGCGCAAAACAAGGCTAGCAGTGCTTAAAATTAGTCCAAATAAACCAATGAAGTCTGAAATATTGTGCGTTACATGAATAACAAAAAAGTAATCTTATTTTTCCTAAAATCACGAAAAGTGCTACTGAAATATCCGGCTGATGCACGCGCCGCACAAGATACGGCGTTATCGCCTCGGTAAGCGTCCGATATCTGAGGGGATGGCAAGTGCCTGATTGCCAAGGTAATCACTAGGTTGTCCGTGCTACGCGCTTCCTTAGCTTTCGCGGCAGCGGAGTTACACTAAGCGCAAGGCTGAGAGCTATACAAACGCGTAGCCCCGCCGTGGTGGTCTAGCGGCTAAGGTACTCGGCTGCTGACCTGCAGGTCGTGGGATCGAATCCCGGCTGCGGCGGCTGCATTTCCGATGGAGGCGGAAATGTTGTGGGCCCATGTGCTCAGATTTGGGTGCACGTTAAAGAACCCCAGGTGGTCGAAATTTCCGGAGCCCTCCACTACGGCGTCTCTCATAATCATATAGTGGTTTTGGGACGTTAAACCCCACATATCAATCAATCAATATACAAACGCGTACACACAATCGACTGGGCGAAATCACGTGTTCTCGATCGTGAAAAAGAACTGTGACGGCGTCTCTATCTTCAGTATCTAGTGATAGAAACCACTCCGTGCACTTTCAACCAGAACGAAGGTAATCTGCTGTGAGTGTTTGTGTTGAAATAATTTGGATAGTTGCCTCAGAACTTTTTAGCCCCCCCCCCCCCCCCCTGCCTCTGTACATAAGGCGGACAGCTCGACACGTGTTTTCATTTCACTTGTGAACAAGCCTTCCAGGTGGGAGCCGAAACGACTTTTTTCGTGAGCTTGAATTTGGGCTTTTGTCGGCGCAAACACTCGGAGTTTCTTACCTTCGCGAGATTCGGTACGCAAAAGCTACACTAGAGCAAGATTCAAAGTGGAATTTATAACTGAGCCAACGCCTTCCGAGAATAGTATTACCGCAGGGTTTAGAGCTGAATTGAAGAACTGCACTAAAATCTACACAAAACTGTTACCAACACATTAGTCACACAATTAGCGCTACATTAGGCGCTGAATTAGAATTTTTTTATGCCAAAGCTTGTGCAGCAGCATAAACATTCAAAAATACATAACTTTGGCGGTGAAGTTCAAATTATTTTGTTGTTGCGCCAATAGAGCTAAAAATCATAGTCTGGCGGCCCCGTGGGTCCACTGTATGCGTCATGCGTCAGCGCATCTGGTTAGACCAGGGCGTGCTTGTAACGGGTGCGTGAGTGTAACCGCTGACGCTCAAGCTGAGAAGTGTGGCCAGACATGCCATAATCAGCGAAGATTTTGTGGCCTCACATAGGTGAGTGATCGAACTAGTGCCACGTCCACGCGCAGTCTCCGCAGTCCCTTGGCGAATAAGGCTACCTTGTGGGTTTTAACCAAGAAGGTTTGAAGACAAAATTGCTGGAGTGGAAATGGTGTTTGAAAAGTGAAAGCAGACCACCGCCATTTTACACTAGGCACAATAAGACGTACACAAGAGCACCAGCGGTTAGCTCACACGCTGGGAAGTTTTAATAGCGGTAATTTACTCTGATAGATGTGTCCTAGTGTGTCCAAGTGTATCCTAGTGTTACTGTGTCCTACATGTGTCCTAGTGTTACTGCTTGCACTAAGATGCCTCAAAAACCTTGGAAACTATAGGTGGAGAGCAAGCTGCATGTGGTAATTGATATGTATTCCTTTTGTCTGGAGCAGCGATATCTTATTCTATGTTTAGGCTAGCATTCACGTTAGCAAAACAAAAGCACTTAATCTCAGATTCAGTATCACGTGAAAAACCACGTTTTGAAGAAGACTCCAGTGAAATGCTGGCTTCAGGTCTCCTGGAAAAATATTGTGAAAGCTTCTACTGCAGAATTTTATAAACCTCCTATATTTTAATCATATGGTGGAATCAAATCTCAGTGATTAAATGACAAGTCTTTTGCATGAGCAGGTGTTAAAGAAGAATAATCTAAATGCTCCTCACGCGCATTTCCGAAGGTTGTAGAGTGCCGTCTGACATCACTACTACCCCTTCGACCAGCTCTTCTATAAATGGTGCATTTACTTAGTTTAAAGTGAAAGGGAGATCACGGTTCTTATGTGTGTTCTCCACGTTTTAAACAGTGTGCGCTCGTACAAAGACAATTATGACGTAAAGTTTGGTAGTACATCGTGTTTACAAAGCTTAATTACGTGGAATTCAAAACACACTCAACATTGTATTGCCACAGGAAATTAACATTGCTCCGCGCAACGCGGACTTCGGCAACCAGAGAAACGCTAACGGCACGACTACGAGCGACGAAGCCAGCCACAATGCACGAGCCGGCCCTGCATGCGCCCGGGACTCCGCCGAACAGCCAACGCGCGTGAAGAAGAAGAGAACGAGGGTGCTCGAGGCAGAGGCTCACGAGGACTATATACCACCATTGGATCTTCTTGATTGCTGAGCGTCGTTCACTTTGGGCACAAGTTCGGCCTCGATAAATCGTGTAAATAGAACATCGTTGTTGTGAGGATGCTACATTCGTTACAGTATTACAGTATGAATCTAAGGTTCAACATTAACTCATAATTACCCATAAACGATAAAACTAAGCCTGCCTAAGGAACACGAAATCCCACCAGGTGACTGTGACAAATGCAACTGATCCGTGTGTTTATCACCTGACGCAGCGAGCGTATATGTGTCGAGAGCGAAGTGACTCTAGCACATGCTAAGGGGTCACTTTGCAGCGATAATTATCCCACCAAAAAAAAATTGAATTACACCGCCACCGAAAATACCGAGATAGCCACAATCAGTTACGCACTTCCATTCCTCCTAATGTTGCTACCATATGAACACCAAAATTTGAATAATAATCTGTGTTATGTTGAGGATTCCTTGAGCCTTCAGAAGTAAGCTGGCGAAAGTTTAGTGCATTCTATTGAGCACTTGTACTACAATTGATATTTTTTTTATAAACACGCAAGGGCTTCGCGAATCAAGCAAAACTGGCGTACTCGAGAGCCATGATGTAATGAGCAGGTTTAACAAAACTAGAAGTTCAGTGAGATGGCGCATAGTTCACGGGAATTTTGAGAGCAGAAAGCACACATTCATAAGACGAGAGGACAGGACATGATTACAAGACGACGTCCTGTTCTTTTGTATGGTAAATGTGTGCTTCTTGTGATCGAAATTCCCAGTAAGCAGTGGCTTACTGCGCGCATCTGCAAGCATCTGCATTCTGGTAATTCCGGCAAACGATTTATTTCAATCAATCAATCAATCAATCAATCAATCAATCAATCAATCAATCAATCAATCAATCAATTAATCAAGCAATTATTCAATAAATGAGTTTTAATATAACAAAAAAGATGAATAGAAAGTATGAAATAGACCGACGAGGATCCCAAAGTTCGCGACTGCAATGGGAGCCTCGGTTATGGTTACAAATCAATAAAACGATTAGTCTGAAGGGAAAAATCAAAACAAGGAATACATAATGTATATGAAAAGCAAAAAGGCAAGAAAGCAAAAACAGCATATAATGAGTACACTTTGAACCAGCACAACTCTAATGCAACTGAAGAAACAAGGATGGCATGAAGGAGAATAAGATCCAGCTTTTCGGGACACTAGCGGCTTAGTTCGCCTGAATGACACCACGTGGCGTATCGAACTTAAACAATTCAAAAGTCCCGCCATGACGTATGCAGTGGCGTAGCACTAAAGAAAGTATAATCAAGAAAAATCGTACGCACACCCTGAAACGTTCGCTTCGCCTCAACGAGAAAATAACAGCGCGGTGTGTCAGCGTTATCTCGACAGCGACAACTGGCAATGAATTGACAGTTTTTCTAGACACCTTGCCAGACAGCTTGCATCATTCCGCACGAAATGTCTGGTCGTCTTAGACACATCCTTCGTGTATCAAAAGAAGCGTGTTTGTCTTTTATTTGTTTGTCTTTAGTTTTTGCGCTGCCGTATCGGTGTGGATATTAGGGAAGCATGCTGCTTTCAGGGTTTCGTGTTCACCAAGCGTCAAGCAGTATGCTTGAGCACGAACAGGACATTGCGGTTGTATAACCACTTCCAGCTTGGCGCCATCGAAGCGGCTGTGGCTGCAACTTGCGGACGCAGTCAGGCTCGCTTTTACACCGCACCATGATCTCAGTGTCACACGGATATTTTCACTCTCAATCAAGGCCGGTACGGATCGAGTTTGGTATTCAAGGCCGGCACGGATAGATGCTAGATACTCCTTTCTTGATACCATTTCAGCGCGCACACAGTTCACTGTCTGCGCGCCGAAATCTTACCAAGAATGTCCTCAAATCAAATCACCCAGCTTTCCATACAATTCCTAGATACTCCTGTTAGCGTCACATTTATGTACACGTTAAAAAAAACCGCGGTTTCCAAAACGCTTCGATATACAGCATCCGTATTAACTATGCCGTGATTACGAGGCGTTACACTCAAAGTATTATTAGTACTGTTTAGGCAGCCACAGCGCGTGATGGTCGTGAGTGTCACTTTTGTGTCATTAGATATCTATTGTGTATAGCTGAGGTCCGCCTCTCTCTCTCTCTCACACACACACACACACACCACACACATATATATATATATATATATATATATATATATATATATATATATATATATATATATATATAATATATTATATAATATATTATATAGTATATATATATATATATTGTCACGGGGTCGTGACGTGGCCGAAGACAGGAGACTTCGTGTTGGGATTTAACTGTTTATTTGGGCGAACCTGTGCCCGGTAAACGGAAAGTCCAATTACAGCAGCAGTCTCGCACAGATAGCAGTCTCGGACTGATAGCGGCGAACGGAGCGTCGGCCTACGATCAACTACTGACAAGCGGCGAAGCGCGTCGGCATTTTATACTTTTCCCGTCGAATGTTCTAGCGTTATCACTGGCGGTGGCGTAGGTTCCAGAACAATCTGTACCGTTCGCACAGTGGGCGTGATCTTATCAAAATGATCTACTACAGTCCGGAACTTTCTCGAAAACTGCAGACGCGGTTTGCGCTGAGAATCGTGCGGTGTTTTGGGACGATAACAAAAACTTGGGAAATGGAACGTGGAAATATATATATACATACAGAAGCTTTTCCAATAGGGCAAACTTACTTGGGAAGAGATGAAACACAACTTAGCGGTTTTCTTTTATTTTCACCTGTTTCGACCAGTGGACTGGTCTTCGTCAGGGTTTTGTGTCGCACTTGTTCGCAAACCCTTACCAAGACCTGTCCACGGTCGAAACCATTAGAAATAAAAGCAAGACAACCGCCAAGTTGTGTCTCACCACCTCTTCCCAACTAAGTTTGGCTGATCGGAAAAACTTCTTCAATATATATATATATATATATATATATATTATATATATATATATATATATATATATATATATATATAGATATATATATATACGGAGCGTAGGCCTCTACGATCAACTACTGACAAGCGGCGAAGCGCGTCGGCATTTTATACTTTTCCCCGTCGAAGTTCTAGCGTTATCACTGGCGGTGGCGTTAGGTTCCAGAACAATCTGTACCGTTCGCACAGTGGGCGTGATCTTATCAAAATGATCTACTACAGTCCGGAACTTTCTCGAAAACTGCAGGACGCGGTTTGCGCTGAGAATCGTGCGGTGTTTTGGGACGATAACAAAACTTGGGAAATGGACGTGGAATATATAGATACATACAGAAGCTTTTTCCAATAGGGCAAACTTACTTGGAAGAGATGAAACACAACTTAGCGGTTTTCCTTTATTTTCAACTGTTTCGAACAGTGGACTGGTCTTCGTCAGGGTTTTGTGTCGCACTGTTCGCAAACCCTTCCCAAGACCTGTCCACCGGTCGAAACCATTAGAAATAAAAGCAAGGACAACCGCCAAGTTGTGTCTCACACCTCTTCCCAACTAAGTTTATATATATATATATATTATATATATATATATTATATATATATATATATTATATATATATATATATATAGATATAGATAGTGAGGTCTCGAATTGGCGAGCGAGGCTTCCGCCACGCTTTTGAAGTGAACGGACGCAGTCGGTACAAAACCAACAACACATTTATTTAACTACTTTTGAACGATGACATCGTCAGCCGAATCGGTACATCAATCGTTATCAACTCGCTAAGTCATCATTACACAAAATTATCAAACACTCAAACAACATAACACAAGAGCACCCAAAAGGCGGCGTCGCCAACGCTTCACTCACCCCGTGGGCCCACCGCAGGCGTCCCGCGGTGCCGTCCACGGCAGACCCACCGAGAGACAACCGTTCGCGGCAACCACCACGCGCAGAACAGAGTCGCTCAACTCTCGCCCGCCACAAAGGCCCGCTTCCGCCAGAGGTCACTGCCGGTGCTACTTCATGATGATGATGACGATTGTGGTGCTCAACTCGAATACAACGCCACCTATCGCCCGGCGGTCGTCACCCGAAATGTGGCTTTGGGGCGAGACACGTGCACTACACGGCGCAAACAACTTTAGAGGGGATGTCAGCATTCCCACACCCCCATTCCCCCAACCTTAAATCCAACCACATACCGAAAACAGAAAGATAAGCTAGACAAGCTTTAACAAAAAATTGACATCACATGTCCATAATGTCCTTGCACCACGACACCGCCGCCGGTCGAAACTGCTGCACTATCCGGCTAGACTTCACCTCAGTACCGGCCCCGCAACATCAACGTTGCCGTTGGTGCGACGACCCGTCACTAGCGCCGACACGTCTTCCAGTTGCGACCAGCACTCGCGAGGGCGCCGGACTGCAGGCACTTTCGCAGGTCCCAGGCGTCTCCATCGCTCGACCTAACGACCGCATTCCTGGCCGGTGGCGCTGACGATGTGCACAAGACAACCGGCCATGGATCACATCACTCCCGCTGTGTATATTTCAAACACTCGAAACAAGGGAGCAAGGCCTAGGAAATGAGCTTCGGGCTTCTCGCCCACGTGGTACGATGGTCAGTATGGCTGGCTAATACATCGGTGGCGGCTGAGACGCTCATTAAAAATAAAATAAAGGTCACTTTTCCTAATTCGTGCATCGCAAGATAAAAAAAAAGCGAGGGAAGCAGAGCGCAACACCTCAACGCCACGATCCACCTAGTTGTGCCATGTGCGACAGGTAGCTGCGCAGGGCCTTAGGCCTAATGAGTCACTCGACAACAACCGGCATCCACCCAGCACCCAGCCTAGGCCCAGAAGAGGCAGCCGCGAGGAGACATCCACTCTGTGAGGTGGCCCTATCGCTCGCCGCACACAGCAGCTTACCGAGCGATCGGCGTCCACCGCCCCGGGCGGTGTCACGACGCCCCGGTGTTGAGCCGCAATACAAGTCAGCAACGACGCCCGGCTCCCTGAGCCCAGCTAAAGAGATAAAAGAAGCTATTTACAGAAAATTGAACCACCCACGAGGCTTCCGTACTCACTCGCTTCGGGCCTGGCCTACAAAACACGTGCTCTAGGCCTTGCTCACCCCAGGATGCAGACCGCATGGCTCTCGTCCCAATTCAACAACGGTTTTGAAAACTAACATCAACAAAAAAGAACAACACTTGCGATCAAAAAAAATAAAAACTAAACCTGTGACAAGTTCAAACATATCACGAAATCAATCTCCTCACTCTCAACAAAGCACACCACTGACGCTAGCAAAGAAGTCCCCCTAGGCCTACTCTACCCCTGCTCTAACAAAAGTTTGTACCAAACCGCAAAAACTGTCGTCCAGTACTCCAAGAGCTCCACGTTTGGCAGCCAGTGTGCTTTGGGGCGAGACACATGCGCCACACGGCGCAAACAACATTACAGAGAGTGTAAGCACCCCCACAATATATATATATATATATATATATATATATATATATATATATATATATATATATATATATATATATATATATATATATATATATGTTCTAACCAAAAAAAATGTTTTTTTTCTG